GTCCCGGCAACTTTTCTTTCCTGCGCGAGGGGGACGCGCCGTCCGACCTGCCCCTCCCCCCTCGTCGCCTGCACCCTCCGTCCGAGAGCTGATGTCGTCTTTTCCTCCGTCGACTGCGTTCAAGGCGGCCGAGGGCAACCGGAAAGGTCCCCCCGCCCCCCGCCCCCAAATGTGACTTTTTGCGATCCGTTGTTTTTTCAAGATCCGAGTTCAGGAATCTGGGAGCTGCGGAATGGAGTTATTGGAAAGCTGGCGTTGAGGGGGTAGCGATGAGTTAGAGGAAAACTATGATTTCATCTCTACTGGCCTTGCTGTAGAAAACCCAATCGCGTTTTTTCTTCTGCCTCTGTTGAGTGGGGTAAGATTATACGTTGAATTAAATACTCGGAGACTTACATAAAAGACTATTTTTGGGTCGCGGGATGAGGTACGGGAGCGCTTTTCACCTGAATTGGGGCTGCCTCGAGGATTCTGTTCTGGGGCCTACCTGCTGGGTTCTGTTCAGCCACCGCGTCCTTTTTTCCCCCCCTACGGCTAAATGAAGTGATATAATGATGTGTGTAGTCAGAGAATCCACATTGCTCTCTGCAGTGTGGAAGTGAAAAATGCGAATTATCCACGGGGGTAAAACTTTCTGTGAGCAATCTTGGATGCTCGCTCGTGATGTCTTCGCCTTGTCATCTCAGCGTTTCTAGATAGCTCCACTCGCCAGCTACCTTAATTACTTTCTGTCCTGCCTGGGACTTCTTTTTGGTGACTCGTTTAGTAAACTATAATAGCAGGTAGCGTACATTTTCTTGGCTTCAAAGATGGGAGCTACAGCCTCAGCCCAGAGATAAAGTTAACAACGGAAGCAGAATTCATGTCATTGCTAGTGAGTTTGGGATATGACCAACTCACAAACTATGTGAAAAAACAAACATCCCCTTTCCATAGCTCTGTGTGTGTGTGTGTGTGTGTGTGGTGGTGGGGGGAGTATTCTATCGTGTCTTTGTTTTGGAGACTCTCACATGACTATATTATGTGGGAAAAAATGTCACATTATTTTCTTTAAGGCTGTTTAATGTGTGGTCCTTCTCCCCCATTTAAGGACTGAAAATTACATTTGGCTGTTGGAGGGTTGGAAGAGAAGTGCTTTGGTGAAAGGAAAAGATAAGATTGCTTTGAATGGTTATGATGCTATGACTTCATTTTATCCCATGATATATATAAACTTCCATGATAACGTCTGTGCCCCCATTAACATTCAGAATTCATTTTTAAGAGTCTACCCTGAGGCCCATAAAGAAATAATGCCACTTCATAACTGTTTCCTGACAATCACATTAAAAAAAATGTGTTCCTGGAATGCATTATATGTGTACTCATATAAACATTTATCTTTGTACATTTATGATAATGTAAATATTTAAGTCTGAGAGCTTAAAAACTTTTATTTGCCTATTTGCATACATTTTTTTCAACATCTAGCAGTGCCAACCATATTTGCCAAATAAGCATCAGCCATAAATTCATGCTTTGGCACATTTCATATAATAACTCTTCTAAATTGCCCCATGGTGAAGCATCATGAGATTAGCATTTACTTCATGAGAGAGATTTGTTGTTGTTTTTAACTGTATGATGCGCTGTTTTAGTAGAACAGGTGCTGGGCTCTAGCTGCTTGTGTTGAAACCTGCCAAATCATACTCGTTTGTTGAATGGGTTGTTTAAGTCATTTAGGAACCAAACTGTGTATGATGGCCTTTATTTCCCCCTTTGCTGATCCCTTTACTGTGATCCCTATTTCTTACTCTCCCCAGTCCTTTCATTACTAGAGCTCCTGGTAAAATCTAGGCACCTGCAGGGCTGGTTTGTTTTCCCTAGAGAACTAGAAATTCTAGTAACCTTCAGGCCATGAGTAGGCAGTTCACATTTGTTTGACAAGTGTTTTGAGTGCTTTTTAAGTGCCAGGCATGGTGGTAGGATCTGGGTGTTTGTAGAAGGAGATGCCTTTTTGCATGGAGCTTACAGTTGAGGAGAAGATAACTGATAACCAGTACTTGCAATATTATGTGATGTATGACACCGGTATGCACAGGTACTTGTGGATGGAAGCGTGGAGGTGGGGTAGCTGACTCAGACTTGGGGGAAGTTTGCCCTGGAATGCATCTTCATGGGTTACCTGAGCTAATCTTGAATAATAGGAGTTTACTCGGTTCAGAAAGAGGGAAAGTACATTTTATACCAGTGTTGTCCTGCAGAAATTTAACATAAGCCATAAATGTAACCCACATATAAAATTTAAAATTTTCTAGTAATCATATTTTGAAATCTAAAAAAATGAAATTAATTTTAATAATATAATTTAGCCCACTATATCAAAAATACTACCATTTCAACATGCAAGCAATGTAAAAAGTAGCCAGGCTCGGTGGCTCAGCCTGTAATCCCGCACCTTTGGGAGGCTGAGGTGAGTGGATTGCCTGAGCCCGTGGGTTCGAGACCCGCCTGGGCAACTTGGCGAGACCTCATCTCTACAATACATCAAAAATTAGCTGGGTGTGGTAGCGCGCGCCTGTAGTTCCAGCTACTTGGAAGGCTGAGGCGGAAGGATCGCCGGAGCCCAGCAGGTCGAGGCTGCGGTGGCCGGGAGCGGCCACTGCATTCCAATCTGGGTGACAGAGTGAGACTCTAACTCAAAAAAAAAAAAAAAAAAAAAAAGTAATGCTGAGATATTTGACTTTCTCTTTTCATACCATCTTCAGAATCTGGTATGTAATTTACACATACAGCACATCTCAATTTGAACTGGTTACATTCATGTACTCTATAGCCATCAGTGGACAGCACAGCTTCAGAACAGGGCAGATGAAGTAATTAGAAGCCACATCACTCATTGTCTTGTGAACCAATTTAAGGAACTTTGGCTTCGTTGTGAAGACTGTGAGGCCTTGAGGGTTTAGTGGGGGGCGACGGGGAGGAGGAGAGAGACTTTTTGAAAGCTTTGTGGTGATAGACTCAGAGTTGTGTTTTAGATTTGTGAGTTTGGCAATGAAGTGAATGTTGGATTCGAGAGGGGCAAAACTGGAACAAGGACCAGTTAGGAAGCTATTCTTGGTGAGAAACGATGGGGATGAGGAGGAGAGGGGTGCTACAGGAGAGATTTGAGAAGTGTTATCAACAGGATGGGTTAAATAACCACATTATAGCATTGAGCAAGATTGAAGATTTGAGATGATTCCTGTATTTCTGTTGGGATCTGCTGGGTAGGTTGGGCAAGTCCCCAAAGAGAAGCCAGCCAGAGCAAAGATAAAAAAGGGAAACTATGAGAATTGTCACAGAGTGTTTCAAGGTCTAGGAGTGGTCAACACTATATCCTGCCATGGAAAGGACAAGCAAGATAGGGACTGAATAAAGTCTCTTGAGACTTGTTGATGAAGATGTCTGTAACTTCAGCTAGAGCAGTTAGCTACATTGTAAAGCATCCAGGGGAATGAAGAGTGAATGATGTGTAGCTAGTTGAGAGGGATACAGTGTTTTCTGAAAGGACTCTGAAGGGGAAAGAGTAAGTAGAGGGAGGTGCTGAGGATTTGGAGTTTGCCTTCTTAAAAAAATTAGAATGTTGAGTATGCTTCTGTGGGACTGGAAAGAACCAGTGGAGAGGAGAAGCTGAAGGGTGTATATGTGAGTGTGCTGTGGGTGGGGAAGTGGGTGGGGGCTGGAAGCAGGATTGGGAGGCAATGGGAGGGGATCCCGGACATAGGCAGAGTACGTAAGGCAGTCTTTTTCCAGAGAGCAGAAAGGAAGGAGGTGAAGATGGCTGGCAGTGTAAATAAGAGTGAGGTGAAGGTGGTGGAACAGAGATTCTTAACAAGAGTATATGAGTGAGACCCTGCTCTATGGTGCATGCCTATAGTTCAAGTTATTTGGGAGACTAAGGTGGAAGGGCTGCATGATTCCAGGAGTCATGAACCAGCCTGGGCAACATGGTGAGAGCCCATCTCTACAAAAAAATTAAAAAATAAAAACAAGTAAAATAAATTTAATCCACACCTATGAAAGGAACAGGGGGGAAAAGAGTATGTGAGTTTATACACACTCTTTAGAAGCAGCTTCCAAGGGAATGGGGGAGAAAAAATACACATGACTAGTTGGGACCCTGAGTAAGGATTGTCAGGCGGCCTTGAGGATCTATTTATTCGAGGTTGTAGACCTCACGTTTGCAGTGGTACCTGTCTACATGATAGTGTGATTTTTCTCTAGCAGTGAGTGATCAGCCTGAGTATATTTGAAGAAGCTATGTAATACAAAAACCCCATGAGGCGTGTGCTGTTACTGTCCTTGTTTGTGAGATGAACAACTGGGTGTAAGTCCTAGTTCAGTTCCACTGCCCAAGCACTTACCCGCTGCCTTGCCAGTATTTGGTAGTGATGCCTGAGGGACAGTTGGTTGAGGGAGTTAATGATATTGAGGATTGTGACTTTAAATGAAGAACCATGGGACCTAGGATGGATTATGAGCAGGAGGCCTGGAAGGGGTGGCCCAGTTGGGAGAACATGAAGGACACAGAAGGCTGGAGGTCAGTGTGAAGCCAAAGAGCTGGCAAGGTGGGAGTGGTCATGTCAGCTTCTCTTTGTGGAGGAGCTGCCAAGTGCCAGACACCCAAGACCTTCTTTTGGTCCTAACGCTAATACTACAATGTGTTATTTTTTATACTCTTCCCTTTGTTATCTTCTTTCAAATGAAGAAAATGAGAGTTAGAGAGGTTAAATAATATGTCCAGAGACTCATTCTCCTAACCATGCTCTTCTCAAGTTGGGGGATAAGACAGGAAATGCAGTAATGACAGGAAGTGGTAGAAAGACATTGAGATATTTAGTTTACGGTTTCGGAGGCGTGTCATTCATTCAACAAATGTTTCTGGAGTATCAGGGATGTGCCAAGCATTGTTGCAGACAGACCCCAGTCTGGTATCGTCGTAGCGTATTAGAAGGTGGTAGTGCTGCAGAGAAAAGTACAACAGGGGAAGGGGGGACAGGAGCGCCCAGAGTGTGTGCATTTTAAATGATATCTGGAAAGGGCTTGGTGAGAGCAAAGACTTGAAAGAGATAAGGGGTCTGCCTAAGTAGAAGAAACTGCATAAACCCTGAAGTGGAAGTGTGCTTGGTTTATTTCCAGAATTTTAGAAGGCTAGTGTGCCTGCACTGGAGCAAGTAGAAGACAAACCCAGTGACATCAGAGGGGTAATTGGGTTTTTACTTGGGAGCCATTGCAGGGTTTTGAGCAAAGGAATGATGTGACTGGATATACCCTTTAAAAACTGGCTGGCTACTAGAGTGAAAGGGAGTTAAAAGTAGAAACCAGAAAACCAGTTAG